TCAATGCCGTACCAAAAAAAATAGACTTCACTGTAAATATGTATGATATATTTACAGTGCATACGTAAATATGTAATAAATATGTAGATACGCAAACAGTAGCAATATGAAATCATATGTTTCCACGACAGCACGTAACGTTCATCATTCGCTATCAAAGAATCATTCTGAGCAGCAATCACAAGAAATGCGTGCTTCATTACAAAGTAAATAAATTAATCCTCAGGGATTTCCATTTTTGTTTGCAGCGAAGAAGGACACTAGGCACAAGCGTAACAAGTATTATGCACGGATTTAAATCGATAATGTTAAATTAACAAATTTTAACAAATATTATTCTGGCGAAACTTATCATTAAAATTCGTTCTTGCATTCACATAACATAATATCGCCTCACGCATACAATTTTTCCACTTCTTGTTGATTGTTCAATTTTCATGCGTTTTCTCTCCATGACATGCACAGGGATTAAAAATTGTAGCATTGAGTTGAAAAAAAGTTTAATAGCACGCATGATGCCTAACAACCATCATAAGGTGAAGAATATATAAGTTAATGTTGATAGAGCAGAGGTTGAGGGGTCAGCCAAACACGTACAACATTTGGCACACACGAGGAGTGAAATGAGCGTGGAGGTCAGGAGACAGGATCGAGTGCACGTTTCGTTCCCAAGCGTGTGGCGTGACAGAACAAATAATCTCTGGAATGAGTGACACTTGCCTGCCACCTGCACATGGTTTTCTGGCCACTTTTTCTGATGTCTCCACTTAGTGGTCGACCCCCGGCGACCATCGCAGCTCCTCACCTTCCCATAACATCCTTGACAGACGATAAAAAGTTGCAGGCGCTCATACGTTAGTATGGAAATCATGCACGGACAAAGGGCTAAAATAAAACGGGAAAAGCACCAGCATGAACATTTTGGACTATTCCTGGGCATGATAAAAAAAATTATCTAATGAAAATTGTATATGCAATGCACTCAATAACTTTTTAATTATCAATTTTTGAATCAACAGAGCTCAACAATTACCATCATAGTCTATCCCATTGAAGATTATAAAGGGAATCAGCAATCGTAGAAGTTAAAACCACTGCAATCATAAGGTCGGACTTACGAGCAGCAAAAGAAAGTTTTGCAGAAGAGATCTGCAGTCGCGGCGCTGTCACACGTGGCGTTAACGTCTTCATTTTTGCGCGTAGCTCCACGGACGTCGTTATTGGAGGCGTTGCTTTTAATTACGACCAACAAGCCTGGCCTGTTGCAGCTGCTGAAACTATATAAGCAGCTGTAGACGCAGCTGTTGTTGTCGAAGATAAGTAGTTAAACACACAGCATTTAAACAACGACAGCAGCTATTGTTAAAAGAATGAGTGCAACTGCCACGGCGGCTTTATATACTTCAATTTCAGTTAATTTTTCCTCCTACTGTAACACACCTACTGCCGGGTTTTTAACGACACCAGTTACAGCTGTTCGCTCAAATTGATCCACCAGTTTATACATGCAGGGCTTTAGTCTTTGCTCTGGCAGCTTTGTATATCTTTTTCTGTTTAAAGTCACACATAGAAATTGTATACTTTCTCCAACGCAGCCTCTGCTTGCTTTTCTAAGTGCCCCGACATCGCTGAGACTTGCGGCAGAGCTGTGGCAAACCAGGAGTGCTGAGTGAACGCAAGCTCTTGCGGACACGACGAGTCACTACGATTAAAGTGGCACCGAAGTAGCACCGTAAGTATCGTAAATAACTATTGTGTTTTACCACCACCGTTGTTCTTGATTTTATTTTTAACGAGATATTCGTTTTACTGCCGCTGACTTTCATTCTGCTTGTTTGACTCGGGATTTTCGTCAAATTTTATCGTACGTTATTCCCTTCTGTTGGTCTATATTGCCTAAAATTTTTTAAAATTTCCTTGTGTTGTGAGCTTATCCATTTTACTAAAGTTTGATCCTTTCCCTTGACGGCTATGAGTTCGTAACAAAGCTTCGTTCAGTACATGTGCTCTGAATGTTAATTTTAACTGAATTAAGATTTACCATTTCTTATATCACACCATGCCTACAGTCCCTAAACCTATTCTTGAAAAATCCTAATGATGATTTCAAAATTATGCCCATAAACATAACCCTTCTGACTCTAATCAAGCCATCTTTAACATTACTTTGTTGATATTGCCCTCCAGATACTCAAAATCCCGACCATACCGCTTCTTACCCTCTAACCCACACTGCCAATATGTCTTCTAACCATATATCCCTGATTATGTTGTCTTTACTGTCTTACTGATTATACAGTCTACAGTTCATACTGTCTTTTACCCATGTAACTCTGACTATACCCATTTTCTACTCTCAAACCCACCCTGACCATACCGCCTTTTACCCCTCTAACCCCGACCTTTTACTCCTCTAACCTTGACCATACCGCCACCAGCCCCTCAAACCTTGACCTATACCGCCTTTTCCCCCTTTAACCCTGACCATGGTGCCTTTTAACCCCTTCAACCCTGAACATACTACCTTTTAACCCCTATAACCCTGAACATACTACCTTTTAACCCCAATAACCCTGACCATACCACCTTTTAACCCTTATAACCCTGACCATACCGCCATTTACCCCTCAAACCTTGACCTATACCGCCTTTTCCCCCTTTAACCCCGACCATGGTGCTTTTTAACCCCTTCAACCCTGAACATACTACCTTTTAACCCCTTCAACCCTGAACATACTACCTTTTAACCCCTATAACCTTGTTCGCACCGCCTTCTACCCCTAACCCTGATCGCATCACACAGCCCTGATCAGGCAGCGCCAAGACGCAAGTGGTATTGATCTCTGGCGGCGCTCATTTTTAATGATATGTTTCCTTTGGAATTCAATTATGCGGCCAAAGAATGGAATTGGAACGGGGACTCATCTCGCGCTAGAAATTTTATCTGCAAATATATTCTAATGGGCAAAGAGGTGAGGCGGCGGAGCTGTGGGGGAGACACAGGCGCGCCAAAACCAAAATGAATTAATGCCAATTTGGCCGAATTTTGCCGAACTGCCTGCCGCAGACAAACCATCGCCGGAAACAGAAACCAGGCTCACACTTTAATTTCTCTGCGATTCTTATTGTGACGAGACTAACTTGGCGATGTGATACAACGGAAAAATGAAATATTCCTAAAGGTTTATTAAATTTTGTCAAAATATCGATGGAAGGTTTGATAGTCATCCGCAGCACTCATCACGCTCTTTATGTTCCGATTAAACGAGCTTTTCAATACTTACGTCCATGAAAGACGTTTTCAAAATCGCCCTAAATCTCATAAAAAAATAGAATGAATTTTTATCAGGGAATGAATCTTGTTTGTTAAGTGAGTTTACTGCGCTCTCGTCAATTAAATTCCAGCGATGAAATAAAAAAACCTAAGCCCCACAACACTGAGCACAACCTCAGGATTTTAAAGTCCGTAAAATTTGCTCGCCTGTTGCTCATTTGTTGCTCACACTCTGCCCATTTGCTCGCATTTGCCTGCGTTCGCCTGTTGCGCAGCTCAAGCCTTTCACGCGCCCCTCTCGTGCAAAAATGCGCTCGTTACGAGCCGGTCTCGCGGGACAGCGGGTCCGGCGAGCCAAGGATCTCAGGATCACCGACGCGAGGTCCTTTCTTGTCACAAGCAAGCAGTAAATTTTATACGCTTTTCATGTAAGATGAAATGACTCAATACCGACGCAAACCATCATTCATATTCATGTAGGCATTTTTAATGAATTCTGAAAATTAGCCGAGTTTCAACGTTAAGTATGATAGTAAAAACTATATTGTGTTGACGAAAATACCCGCGATATTATTTCGAGCTGCCTCAGAACGTCATATGGAGGAGACATGTTGCCCGATATCGAACACATGTATGAAGAAAAATGTATACAGTTGACACTGCGTTACATTCCAAAAATATTTATTTTAACGATTAGAGAATTGAGTATGTATCGTAGCTTTTTTGAGGTACTCTTTCCTGTGCTATAACTTATGTAAGTTGTATGAGTTTAACATGAACGTTCCGTTTACGTTGCTCAATAAGCTCTTTAGGCTTATTAAACAATAATTATTGCCTCGCGACAAGCATTTGTAGGGAAGCCTGAGCACATGATGATTGGCATTTAATTGACAACTGTATTACTTTATTTTGTGCATCAACACTTCCACCCATTTGATCCTTCTTCTCAAGTTTGGTACAACAAGACACATGAGAGGGTAAATTACCAAATTTTTCTCCACAATCAGGCACATTTCTCGATCTAGTTAAGTTTCCACACTTCCATTCATGTGACGCGATCGAAAGCTGCGCGTATGCAGCGAACTCTCTTCGATCTCCCGAACTCTTGAGTTACTCACTCACTCGAACTCCCGAAGCCCTGAACAAATCTCTCAGTGGCGACTTTAATCAGAAATCGTAGAAGAATTTTCGTATTTTGTCCCCGTGGGAGGCAATATATCAGCGCCGCAGCGTCGAGACTTGTCACTCGAAGCGTCTTTTTTGACGAGAAAATGTTTGAGTTTCCCTCCGCGGCGTCGTTGTCAGCCCGTTGTGTGCAGTGATTGTGAGGTGATTGCCGGTGCCTGCATTGTGAGGTGATTGCCGGTGCCTGCATTGTGAGGTGATTGCCAAGGCCTGCATTGTGAGGTGATTGCCGGTGCCTGCATTGTGAGGTGATTGCCGGCGACTGCATTGTGAGGTGATTGCCGGCGACTGCATTGGGAGGTGATTGCCGGCGACTGCATTGTGAGGTGATTGCCGGCGACTGCATTGTGAGGTGATTGCCGATGTCTGCATTGTGAGGTGATTGTCAGTGACTGAATTGTTTGCTGATTGCAAAGGTCGACATTGTCGCGTGATTGTTGTGTATTTAATTGATTGAGATTAATGTCGAAAACTAGCAAGAGAGCGGCCGCATCGACGGTAGAACATGCACTAGTAGACACATCTGCAGCTGTAACATCACCAGCAGCCACATCTGCAGCAATAGCAGCCACATCTGCAGCTGTAGCATCACCAGCAGCTGTAACGTCACCAGCAGCCACATCTGCAGCGTTAGCAGCCACGTCTGCAGCGTTAGCAGCCACGTCTGCAGCATTAGCAGCCACATCTGCAGCATTAGCAGCCACATCTGCAGTATTAGCAGCCACATCTGCAGCGTTAGCAGCCATGTCTGCAGCGTTAGCAGCTACGTCTGCAGCATTAGCAGCCACATCTGCAGTATTAGCAGCCACATCTGCAGCGTTATAGCAGCGACATCTGCAGCATTTGCAGCCACATCTGTAGCGTTATAGCAGCGACATCTGCAGCGTTAGCAGCCACATCTGCAGCATTATAGCAGCCACATCGGCATCACCAGCAAAGGGTTTGTGCATGTGGCGAGAAAATGAAGATTGTCGGGCTTAGTCTGGCGATAGCTTCAGCTTAGGACTAAGCCGCGCCTACGCCACCTATTGGGCGGGAAATGCGCCTCAAATGCGGCCTAAAACTCCTAAATGTTCGCGTAGATTACGGACGCCCTGGAGAAAAATAACGAATGTAACAGCACTTATATATGGGGTCGTCATTCTGACGCGTCCTCGCGGTTACGTTACAGCTGAGTGAGACAGAGCAGATGTGCATGATAAAAACTGAGAAGAATTGATTGCTACTGAAATGTTGCTACTCTATGTGGTACTATCAAACCGAAACTGTATTTATATTATATGTTAAGTGACAATTAATGAGATTCATTAATTAATGCATCACCCTTTAGTTGAGTATTCTCTTTCGTAGGAATCAATCCGCTATTGATCTCATGCACAACCTATAATAACGCTCTATAATGACAATAATTATGTGCCACTTTCCTGCCGTGCAGAGAACTTGACACGCATAAGAAGTAGTGGTCTCCTCGAAGTAGGAATACTTGTATTCAGCATGACGCTTTGCAGAGCTGTATGCTCGATATGGAACAAAAAGGCTATAGAGAAGCGCACTAAGATAGCGTTAGGTTCTTTGCGTCCAGTATGGATTATAATAACATTACGTAATAACAAGTAGATTTTATTTACGCACGAACAATGTTCTGGTAAAAAACATGCGTTTTTCTGACACATCTTGTTTAAAAAAAAAAAACAGGATATATTGAAGTGCAATTGAACAAAATATTATATTATTAAGAATTATTCTCATAAATATATTAACCATATCACGAGGACGTTAGCTGCCTGATAAAATGTCGAGCATGAAACGAAAGAGCTGCTGCTGGCAGATGTTAGTCAAGCATGACTTACAGATTTAATATGCCACTTCAAAACATATTACTGGGTTACATATCACTACTTCCAAAACGTAATTATAGCAAAACTTCCTAAAAAATACCGCATCTATAAGAGGTAGCAGTCACAATAGTTCTTCTAAATTCTACTTTTGGACAAGATATAACTTCCAAGTTATTTTAGACAAAATTCTATTTCCCATCAACCTAACTGATCTAAATTATTTATACAAAAAATTTAATATTGTGACGTACTGTGCAATATTCATCAAAATACAAGCTGGTCCGAATGGCTTGGTCAGATCTCAGTTCTGATCTAATTTGAGTTTAGGCATATTGACAGGACCTAAAATCTAAATGCACCGACCACAACGCAAATTAAGGCCTATAAAATAAAACAATCACTTCTTATTTATTAGGCTTATCATAATTACAAATACAAGATAATCGTTCAGCGAAATAAAAAAAAATATCCATCCTTCGAATAGCACCTCACAAATCTCGTCTTATACCCGTACATTTTTTTATTTTGTTTTTAGTTATTCTTCGATGGCAAAATACTGCAGCTATTTTCATTGTGTCATGTCACTGCAGTGTCATGCGCAACGTAGAATCAAAAATATTCGCCATAACATAACAATGCAGGTTCGAAATAATGTTCTCAGAAGTCCATTTCTTATCACATATAGAATCTAAAATATATTTTCACTGTTTGTTTGAACTGTTCGTTGTCACCCCATGAACCCAGACGAGAAAGTTATTCAAAAAGTCATTTGACTGAATGAATAATAATTAAGGTTTAACATATATTTTAAAAAGTTTAGCATAAGCTTATAATGTATTTATAGAGATAATATTGTATACACGGCAAGAAGCTTCCTCTGACCGTCAAGCTGCTGCGCAGCTGTAGTCACCCCGGATAAGCAAGTCTCATGTACGACCTTATGAACTTATGACCTTATGATGAGTTTAGGACTTCGTAGTCCACAGTCAAGCTGATGCGCCGCCTTCGTCGTCCTCCGTCTCCGAGTCGTCGCTAGGCAGGTCACCCCGTCCTCTGGTCCCGGATATAACGTTGGACGTGTTCCGTCTATTTGCCCTCCTTTGGGCCAGCTGATGCAAGATGCTGTTGCTTGTCACTTGCTGAAGGTAGTTTCCCATTACTGGACAATCCGGGATCTTCTTCAGAAACTTATCCAGTTGTCTCTTGGAAGTCACAAGGGTGAACTTGACAGATACCCGTATTACCTTACCCCTCTTGGGCCGGGGCCGAGCATTGCCTCCATGCCTTGGACATTACGCAGCTGCTCTGATTACAGCTGCTGCCAGCACTGCTGCTCTGATTACAGCTGCTGCCAGCACTGCTGCTCTGATTACAGCTGCTGCCACTGCAATGGTAGCCCCAAGCTCCCAAGTTCAAGGTCGAATTTCATTTTACTTGTTTCATAAAACTTAAGTGCCATCCCTGCACAGCAGATGTCATTCCCATATGTGCCATAACAGAGCATATGGTATCTTATGAATTATTTCAGTGCACGGTTACTAGTCATTCCATATATGCCATAACACAGCATATGGTATCTTATGAATTCATTCAGTGGCAGGTTACTAAGCATGTCTCATCCTCTCACCTGTTCCATGTCGACCAGCTGGTGCAATTGCATCACAGCAGCTGATGCGCCTCCCCAAGCTGGTTTATCATCTCAAAGCAGGTGTAATATTCCCCACTCCTTCTTCCCCACTCCTTCTTCCCCACTCCTGCTTACCCACTCCTTCTTCCCCACTCCTGCTTACCCACTCCTACTTCCCCACTTCTGCTTCCCCACTCCTTCTTCCCCACTCCTGCTTACCCACTCCTACTTCCCCACTCCTGCTTCCCCACTCCTGCTTCCCCACTCCTGCTTACCCACTCCTACTTCCCCACTCCTGCTTCCCCACTCCTGCTTCCCCACTCCTGCTT